CCTTTCCTCATAAAGAAGATGCTTCAACTGTTTAATCATCTACATGGCCCTTTGTGGACTTGTTCTGGTTTCTACATCATATTCTTACACTCCTCCTTCTTGTCTTCTCATGCAGCTATCCCACCATGTTGCTGTGATCACCATGATATTTAACCCAGCAGTTAGATGCAATGTTATAACTCCTCCTTTTTGCTCCCTATGGAGCATGCAGCCACATAGAGGCACTCCAGAGAAGTATTTTGTCATGCTGATTTAGTGGTTTAGCTCAATCTTTGGTTTGATCCTGTAAGGATGCTGATGTGGATTAACCCAGATGTTCTCTCATTCTGCCCTGCAGGTGGAATAGGGGAGAGAATCATAAGAGTAAATGTGTGACAATGTGTGAGTTGAGATAAAGACAGTTTAATAGTTAAGATAATAATAATAATAATAATAATAATAATAATAATAATAATAATAATAATAATAATAATAATAATAATAATAAATAAAAAAGTGAATCCCAAGAGAGAAAACCGATGCAAATGAAAAGAGATGCTCACCACCAACTGACTATTGCCCTGCCAGTCCCTGAGAAGCAGCTGCCCCGTGGCCAACCTTGCCTCCTAACTTTATAGCTGAGCATGACACCACATCGTCTGGGACATCCTTTTGGTCAGTTGGAGTCAATTGTCCTGACTGTGCCCTGTCTCAACTCCTTGCACACCCCAAGCCCACTCACAGGTAGGGTGGGGTGAGGAACAGAAAAGGCTTTGGCTCTGTGTAAGCCCTGCTCAGCAATAACAAAAACATACCTGTGTTATCAACACTGTGTCCAGCATAAATCCAAAACACAGCCCCATAACAGATACTGTGAAGAAATTTAACTCTATCCCAGCCAAGATCAGCACAACTACTCTTATAAACCAGCACTCTGAGTTTTTGCCCTTTCCAGGTAAAAGCTGCAGATAGTTACCAAAAATCATTGCTAATGGGTAGGGAACAAACCTTATAAGGTCATGGTCCAATGCCTTGCTCTCAACTATGGTCAAATATTGCTCCTGTGAGACTTTTTTTAATATATTAAGGTGCGCAGTAGATTCAAATATCAATTATACCCTTAAGTGTTTGTCTCTCCTTAACATTTTAACTTCTCCATAGTATTTAACATAATTAGTCTTTGCTTCACCTAAAGTAGAAATTCCCACTGTTACTCCTTTAATTTTCTTTTCATTTGCTGTGCTTTCCTGTCCCCTGACAAGTCCGGCTGCTTTCCCTTGGACTCTATCCGGCTGTTGTCCCTGGGACAACATCCCATTATGCACTCCCATTTACTCTGTGACTTCTAAACAACATGATTGTAAAATCTTTCAGGCTTGTAAAATATTTACAGGCACAGTTTACATCTTCCTTGAAGACATCCACAATGCAATGCCTGATGGGAGAAAGTGGTACTAATGGTCTTGGAACAGAAAAACATCTCAAAAGGGCTGTCACTCAGAAAACTGGTAGATCACAGAGGAGATATGGCACAGGCAGGAGAGGACATGTTCTTCTACACAGCAAAACATTTCTGTTTCCCAAAAACTATTGCACCATGAAGCACTCCACCCCAAAGAATTCCTGCCTTTCTCTGAAGTGAATCTAACAATATCATCTTGCATGAACATAGTGTGCAATACCTGTTTATCTTCTATGCTATTGTTGAATATAAAGCCCACAAGATCCACCCTCGAAATAAAATCTGTACGTCACAAATTAGAGCAAGCAATTTTTCATTATGAATAACCTGTGTTTTTTCCATGACTCCTTACTGACAGAACTTACAGTTCCTCTGTTTCTTTCAAAGAGAAAATGTGTTCAGTCTGCTTTCACTGGCCTGAAGTCCCACTAATTCAGGGTAAGAGCAATGTGAAGCAGAGATCATTCATTCAGTAGTAGGCAGTTCCCAAATGGGAGAAGCCAAGGTGACTCTGGTTATATTAAAACAGGTTCACACTAGAAGATTGATGGAAGTTGCTCTCCTGACTCCAAGGGCTTCTAAGCACAAAGGCTGATAAAAGTCAAGGATGTAACAACATTTCTTGAACATTGTTTAAAAAGATTTTCAAGTTGTGCTTTTTATTAAGTAGATCCAGTTTGTAAGATCAGAGGTCAAGATAAATATTTAAAATTATAGATAAATATATAGCTCAGTAGGAGTTGCTAAAAACTTGTTTCCATATGTATATGGGCATAGGAATTGTTTCATGAGCATGCTAATGCCACTGTCTTCTACCGGTCTTCAGGAAGTGTAATATTTCTGAAAACCAGACATATCTAAGCTATTTTAAACACATTCAATTAGGTCACCTTGTCTTTTAATGATAATTTTCATTTTCTCCTTTGATATAGCACATAAGTAAAACTTTCCTTCTGAGCAGCAGCTCAAATGGGTATTAGAATTATAGTCAGAGCAAGCATAAAAGACATAAATAAAGGGGAATAACAGATATATTTAGATTCTGAAGAGAATTATTAATATTACAAAGACATTCTACTATTCAGGCCTTGATTCTGGAACTGAGCAGTTCTGTTCCTTCTGATGATTAGGTAGGAGAGCAAGGTAAGATGTTTACAAATTGAGGTTATCTTGAAGGGAAATCCTTCTATGTAATTAGGGCCTCTGTTCCAATAACAGCTATTACAGATTGCCAAAGCCATGGTATTTATCAGACACCTGCACATTTTTCTGTCATGGTGGGAAGGGAAGGGAAGGGAAGGGAAGGGAAGGGAAGGGAAGGGAAGGGAAGGGAAGGGAAGGGAAGGGAAGGGAAGGGAAGGGAAGGGAAGGGAAGGGAAGGGAAGGGAAGGGAAGGGAAGGGAAGGGAAGGGAAGGGAAGGGAAGGGAAGGGAAGGGAAGGGAAGGGAAGGGAAGGGAAGGGAAGGAAGGGAAGGGAAGGGAAGGGAAGGGAAGGAAGGGAAGGGAAGGGAAGGGAAGGGAAGGGAAGGGAAGGGAAGGGAAGGGAAGGGAAGGGAAGGGAAGGGAAGGGAAGGGAAGGGAAGGGAAGGGAAGGGAAGGGAAGGGAAGGGAAGGGAAGGGAAGGGAAGGGAAGGGAAGGGAAGGGAAGGGAAGGGAAGGGAAGGGAAGGGAAGGGAAGGGAAGGGAAGGGAAGGGAAGGGAAGGGAAGGGAAGGGAAGGGAAGGGAATTTTAAAGTACTACAGCTGATACTTTACCCTAGGAAAAGAACAGACAGTGATATCCATCAGTCTTTAAATCCCCTTGTTTACTGTACCACTAGACTTTATGTAATGTTGTTTTTCTTCCTGAAATGGGTCTGCCAGTGACATGAAATGATCACAATGTAATATCCTAAATGTTTTCATCGTGTGTAATTATTTATTTTCATGCCTTTTTGAAATCCTAGACAGATTGCCGACTTGATGATCATGTTTTCCCCCACAAAATACTTAACAGACAAGAGACAAAAGCTTTAGAAGGATCAGAAATAGAAATGTTTGCATAACCTGCCACGTGAATAATGAGAAAGCAAATGCTATATCTTATTAGAAAAAACACAAACAAGCTTTTCTTGTGCATGGCTTTTAATTAATTCTTTGCCATAAATCTTTATCAACTAATTAGAATAATAATTACAAACAGAAAACACAATTACACAAAAAAAACCCCAAAGAAAATAAGGAAAAGGCAAGCTTTCTGAATTAATTTTTATTTTATCTTAGAAAAACCTGGCAAAAAGTTAACATGTAATTTCAGATAATGTTACTAATTTAATGGAATTATTCTAGAATGGTGGTTATATTAATCCAATTTACAGCAAATTGCAAATAAATTTACAGTATAGGATTTTAGACTCAAAGGATAGAAATCAGTAATAGCATCACAATACCATCTTTTTTATATAAAGCTATAATGTGAATATATGAAAAATGTTCTGAAAATTTTCATAACAGAAGGATAATTCTGAAATCTGCCATAAGGGTGGATAAAACTACATGACTTGTGGAGGATAAAGATGGTTTCTTTAATACCACACCATGAAAAATGCTCTTTTATCTACTCTGCAAAAAGAAAGACACCCTAGAAGTGTGCTCCCTGTGGTCAGATTATTTTACCATTTGGGTTGAATTAATTTGACTTTGATAAGTCAGCTGTGGATAGGCATAAAACGAAACCTTTGTTTTTTTCCTGAGACTTCAGGTACGTTCAGCACCTTCTGCATACTCCTTCAAAATACACTTTGGTCTTTTCTCAGTCATGCTTGAAAATACCAATAACTCCCAAACCCAGGACATGGCTAATGTGCACAGGCAGAATGCAAAAGAACTTGTACAGGTTGGAGAGAAAACTCTTCCAGACACATTATTAAATAGCTAAATCATCTGGGCAGAATTCATGTCAGTGACAGGTTGTAAGGCACATGTCCCAGTCTCAGCTGGTCTCTCTAAGTTACCTCTGTGAAGTCATACTGACATTTTGCCAACTTCATTTCTTCCCAGCCTTACCAAAATAACTATTGTAATGGAGAGTAACCTGTAATGGAGAGCATTCTGTATATGCTTTGGAACTCCTTTTGAAGCTGTACCTTTAAGTAATACCGCAGGAAGCCTGAAAAACACCCTGCTGTTATTAGCCCCAGGAACTCTTGCAACTTAGGGGGTTTAATCAGTCCTAGGAAGAGCTTCTATGGCTACATCAGCAAAACACAAAAAAAAAAAAAAAAGGTAACTAAAACCGTGTAATATTTTCATAAGACAATTTTGGGCAGGGATTAATACACTTTTTGTCAAGCTTTCTCTCCCTTCTTCCCACCTACACTTTCACAAACACTATATCTCTTTTCTACATTCTCAAGTTGTGAAAAATGCCAATCACTTGGTTTTTAAAATTTTAAAAGTTTAATTGCAATAAAATGGTTATAAAAATAGTAATACAATTAGAGTAATAAAATTTAGAGTTAGGACAATTACAAGACAATAACAAGCAAAGAATTACGGACATCCAGATGCTCTTGGACACTAAGTCACAAAAAGCATGTTTTGTGAACAAAGGAATCACCCTTAAAAAATCATACACTGTTGCATATTCATACATCCTTCATGGTTATGCATACATTCTATTTAAAACAAGAACCTCTGTCTGCTATATGTCAACTATTTCTTTTAATCCCCATCACGTCTTTGAGTCTGAGCAAGGCCTGAAGAAATTAGCTTCTTCTGATAAGAGAACCATAAATTCCTCTTCTCTGGAAGATTTAGGTGTTCTGTGACTGTTTTCTCAAAGCCCGTATCTCATTCCTTAAAAAAAAAAACCACATACATACTTCCTATTTTAACTACTAAAGCTTCATTTTAATTACAAAACTACATTTACCATACTATTAAAATGTTAATACAGCACTTCTAATCAATATAACATAGTACATATAGTATTCAATTTAATATTTGCAAAAAGCCAACCATAAAATATGCATTTTTTCACACAAATAATATCCCTCAAGACCACATCCAGAAACTACTGAAACAACCTGTCTTACCTAATGGCATTCCTCAACTGCAAACTCCATGCAGAACCACATCTGAGATGGATGGTTTTCAAAAGCACCTGGAAAAAAAAAAACCCCAACAAACCCACACACAAAACTGTACTTTCAAACCAATGTGTGGGTCCTTTCCTGGACTCATCAGCAACTCCAGGAAAACAACTTGATTTGAATTTCTAAACATGTATCCAGAACTCTTAGACCTATGACTTGCTTGGAAGGACTGAAAACAACTGACCAGGGATGAACTGATCAACTTTGCCTGGAATGTAACTGAGCAGTGCTTTTAAAATACATAAAAACATACTCTGAAAAATTTCTAGCATTTCTGCTTATATTCTAGTATTTTCCATACTTTTAATTGAAGTCTGCTTGAAAACTTTGGATTTATTCTTCTCCTCGTTCCGGCCACTGCTCTAGCACTCCAATCTGGCTGTGTATGTTGTTCAGTTTAGAAGAACAGGTTTCACATTTTCCGTTTAGAACTCCAGTGATTCCTGGAACATAGGCAAGTTACAGCGAAGAGCTTCCACGCATTGTTTCAGCCTGACAAGTGTGACTGAAAAAAATGAGAAAATAACACAGAAAGAAAATCAAGCAAAGCATTTCCTTCACAGAAAACAGACACTGGAAAATACTCAAGTTTTTGATTAAGGATATGTCATAAATTTTTTCTGTATTTTATCTAAAAGTCTACAAACCTGAGATACGTTATAAGTTTTCACAAAAAAAGATCTTGTCTAAATGAAATAAGGTGCTAGAACAACTACCATAAAAAATGTAATCCTGGGCTTCAGCTGCTCTTAATGATTCCCTGCTGCATTCCAACAGCAAGTGGTCAGTCTGTATTGAAAGAATTATAGCTTCATGTGAAGAAATCTTTTTCCCATTCTCAACTCATAGTGTCATTTTTGCTAAAGTCAATGTATTAGCCAGTACATTAATTGGAATGCTTATCCAACCATGGAATACACTAAAGCTAAAAATATATTTCAGTGATGATAACAAAGAGATGACATAACTACTTTATTACTGCTAATACAAATGTACAAATGCACTTGTTAAAAGCGCATTTAGACCATGCATAAAAAAACTAATCCCACACCTGCAATAAGCATATTTGTTTTAAAATTTTATTGTATCTATACTTAATCATCCTGTGCTACGACTGTATTTAGTTCTCCTAAATCACAGTACCATTCTGTAATATTAACTTTTTGTATTAGACCGTTATTAGATTCTTGGGCTCTGAATTTATTAGCATGGAAATACATGTAAATTGGTGCATACAAAGAGAAAATTAAAGAAAAGTGGCCTTATCTCTGACTGTGGCCGTAAGTAGGTGTTTAGAGCAAACACATAAAAGTAGACCATTATGGAATGGTGCTTCCCTTAGTAAACTCTTTGCCGTGAGCACTGAAAGACTAACAAAATTACAATCTATCACATGTGCACCATCCTTTCTAACAGTTCTAATTCATGGACCATAAAATTGACTGATCATATCTTAATCAATTTATAATTCCATATGAAGTAGTTTTTAATGTTTCATTACAGATTGTTTTCAAAAGCTATTTTTGCTTAAGGTCTGTGGTTTTATCATTTCATCAGGGGCCTTTTAGTTCTTGCATTACTGAGAAGGAGCAAACAACCATGCCTGCCATGCCTCTTACAGCATACTCTATCCTATACCCCATTCTTCAGCAACAGCTATCCTAAGAGTTATAGCCCATGGAAGCTTTAATCTACAGAAATCTCTGTGTGTTTCTAATAATTCACAGTAATTCTTACCTTCAAATACAAAGGATAAAAGCGAACACTCCTGTGATTTGGAGTAATTTTTCCTCATGTATAAGTATCAAGTTAAATTTTATGTTCAGCATCATATGAATGTTCTAAAAGATAATTTTACATCACCTGAAGTGATCAACCTCATATTTCAATTACTATTCCAGAAAAAAAAATAATTAAAGATAAAGCAGACAGCTACACCAGCCAAAATAAAAAAAAAAAAAAGTACTTTCTGTTTCTGATATCTTTTTGTATTTTTAAAGGAAGTGAAATTTAAAATACATCTTTTTTTTTTCTTTCTTTTTTCTTTCTTTTTTTTTTTTTTTTTTTTTTTAATCCCACAAAAGTTCTGGGCATATTAATTCTCACATGCTCCATAAATAACAGCAATGCTTTACACTCTTTCAAACAGCAGATGTACACCCCAAAAACTGAACAATACAAAGATAATTTCCAGGAATACTAGGTACAAGAGGCATCTAATCCTGTTTATCTGAGACTACAAACATATTGTTTCTTGGATTTTTAATATTATGCTTTGTGTAGGTTGAAAAGTAAAACACTCACAGTCCTGAGAATGTGTTCCACTTGCTTAGCAGTCATTTTACATTCAGATTCTCTATTCGTCATTGATTTCATTCTCTTTTTTTTATGCATGAATAACACAAAAACCTTAAGAGACAGAATACCCTCTAGTAAAATATTTTATCTTTCATAGAATAGCCAGAATTAATTTGATAGTAATTACAATGACAGGGATTAGAATGGATGTGCCACAGGGTGGTAATCCTGTTCTTTCTAAACAACATGACTTACGTCAGTAAAGCAATAGAATTCAGAACCAATGGTATGCGGTATTTGCCATCCTAATACCCATCCAAATCCTCTGTCTATACTTTTGGAGGCACATCACAAAGAAACCAAAATAAAGGGGAAATGACGATCAACTAACTAGCTCAAGGTCCAGCAAGGAGCTAGTGGAGGAATAAAGTATTAAACTGTCATTTCAGTAGTCAAGCTCTTATACCATTAGATAAAGCCTTAGCCATAGAAATAATCCCTAGTCTTCCCTCATCACTACCCATTTTCAGTGCATTATGAAGAATTCTAACTAGTAAATCCTCTAAAGGCCTTCTGAAGACATCAACAATTTTCCATGTGTTGATTATAAAAGACAAAATACCTAATGGTTTTGTCTTATGGGGAGTCCAGTAAGGGACACCACACATGAGCAGCTCAGGGGGATGCTGAGAAATGTATACAGATGCATGTGGTAAATATTTGCAACAATCTGCTGGGAAGGGAATATAATTGCATATTTACACCTTGAACTGCTGAAACCTTGTGTACAGACACTGAAAAAATACTGCTGATCTTTTCACTTTCATTTTGCATAGGTGATTCCAAAAGATCTTCTAATAAATGTGTTTCTTAACAAAAGAACATAACTTGTTAGTGTACACTTTATCCTAGGACCAGATAGCATTTTTGCTGTGAAACCAAGTTTCTTAAAGATTTTACAAACAAAATAGAAAGCTTGGTTTGCCTAGAGACACAATTTCATCTTCAATGAGCCTAACACTGGCTTATCTGCAGAAAGATTTGAACATCTTTTATACATACCTCTCCATACAAACAAAACCCCAAAACCAACTTGAGTGTCCACACAGAGGCTTCAGTCAGATCCCACAGGATACAGCAATCTCTATTTAATATTCATTAGTGTAATGGGACCAAATTTTGTGCCTTGCTACAGACATACTGAGTTTCAGAGATGCAAAGCTGAGGTCAGAAAAAGACTTTTTGTTTGTTTAACAAGTCTTTATTTCCAGATGTCTCTACTTACACTGTGTGGTCAAGGTGCATTGTAGTCTTTTCAATAATAAATCAAAATTGGGAATACACACTCAAACCTCACTACTGGCTGGACCTACAGAGATGGAGCTTCAACCGCCTCAGTTCTGTCAGGCTACGAGACCCAGCAGCTGAGTAGAATGAACCAGGCTAGTTCACCATTCCATGTCTGGCTGCGCGATTCAAACGCTAATAGTGTGGTAAAAATCACAGTAACATTTGAAATTAAACACTCTTATCCCTCAGAATTTTGTCATATTTTTACGATCAATATATCTGAAGACAGATTCAGCAGATTTCCTACACTGTGTTTCAGACAGAAAGTAAGATTCACTAGAGAAAAGAAACAGCGTGATTTCAGCACCAATGCCACGGAAGTACCTAGGACCAAACTGTCCACCATTACACTTACAGATAGTTTGTTAGTTTTAACCAACAGGGTGGATGAGAAAAATGTAGCTGGCATACCCTGCAATTAATTCCATTCACAGAAAATTAGATAAAAATTAGTTACTGAATATAACCACCACTACAAAGTGGTTATTGGGTAGTGGTGCTACTAAGCCCAAGTAAGAACAGCCACTGACTGCACTGTTAAGTGCAAGGCTTCAAGGCTCTTGGTATGAATTATGAGGGAACTAAATGGTTACTCAACAACAACCTATACAACCAGCTCACTAATCCACCCAGTATGGTGCCAGAAACACTAGTGGTAACACTAGGAAAGGGTGAGCACACACTTGGGACAAGAAAAATGCAAGACCAACCTTTTCAGCAACAGCACAGGTTTAGATCAACACTAACTGGTCATAAAAAGTAATTTTAGGCACAGTGATAATAGCAATGTAGTAAACAAACGTAAGTAAGTCATAACTCTTAAATTTTATTTGAGTGACTGCTACCAGATACTAGAGCTGTAAAAATTAGCTATTTATCATCATATAAACATCACAGAAGAAAATACCAACTGTACTGTTAGAGCAGAAATTTTGCACATTGAGTAGTGGTTGACGTGCAGCCTCACCAGTGCTGAGCACAGGGGGACGGTCACTGCCCTGCTCCTGCTGGCCACACCAGAGCTGATCCAGGCCAGGATGCCATCGGCCTTCTTGGCCACCTGAGCATGCACTGGATCAGGTTCAGCTGCTCTCGACCAGCACCCCCACGCCCTTTTCTGCCGGGCAGCTCTCCAGACAGTCTTCCCCGAGCCTGTAGTCGTGACCTAATACATGTTTTCAAAGTGCATTTGACTATAACTTTGGAATACAACTGCAGAGCTCACCCCAAGCCGTCAGCCTGCTCAGCAGCACCCCTCAGTCGCGGCGCTTCTCCCGCAGCGCAGCCGCGGCGCCGCTGCCGCCGGCGGGCGAGCGAGCGCGGCCAGCGTTAGCCCATGCTGCCACCTCGTGGGGATCCACCGGGGCACGCCGGCCCTCCTGCTCCAACACCACCGCGCAAAGCTAAGCAACATCGGCAGCGCCCCCTCCACACAGGCACAAGGTGCTCCTTCCTTCCAGGAAAAGTACCGCTTTTGTAGGAGTGATTAACCGAACTGCTCGTTTTGTCTTCAGATTTTCAGAGGGGTGTGAGAACAAAACTGAAGGGACGATGTGTATGTCCGTTTATTCTTTCAGATACAGGCTGATAGAGCTATAAAAATCCGCAATCTATAATGATACATAACATAACCTGTATGCACATCTTTATAATTCTCTGTAAAGACATGGAGAGCAGAATGGGAAGCTGGTTTGTTTTTTTCATTTTTACACAATAATAAGAAAACTATGACTTTGGAATGTGTTGCTATTGTTCATCTAATTAAAATATAAGCAAGAAAGAGCTGTCTTCCCACCAAAGAGCTAATTAAGTCTAATTAGGCTTCTTACAGCTAGTTACAATGCTTTTCAGACAATTATGTTCTGCTGGTTTAAAATTGCATTCAGACCTCTAATCAAGGCAAGCCTTCCTATCTTTCTATGCTACATCCACAGCAGGTCTGCCATCACTGATCCTACATTTTACTCCTCAGCTGTTACTAATTATGATCTTAAGAAAATGTTTATGAGCTAGATTTTAAAGGGGAGTTAACACATAATAAGGAAGATGAAGACAAAATTTTGGGTGTGCAAGCCTGCCCTCACCTTGGAAGGTGACTCATCTAAATAAATGTTGAGAAAACACCTGAGATTTTAGCTTCATGGCAAAAAGTGATGGGAGAATCTGAAAGACTGGTATTCACAAAGCAGGAGAAGGTGGTTTAGTTCTTATGGGTCACATAGTGAGAGATTATTCATTTCTTCCCATCTGAGGGAAATTATTTACAAGGGAAATACGTTTGAGGATAACTTCTGGAAAGTTCCACCCCTCACAGGTCAGGCTCATTCAAGTGTAGATTAAAAAACCCCATGCAAACTTGTTTGCTTTCGCTGTTTTACCAAAAAGTGGGTGAGGCCCTACTCCATAGAATTGCATAATTTTTGAACTTCATGCTTTCTTCCTCATTACTCCTGAAATTCTTCTCCCATCCTTTCAGCACACAGGACTGCAGTCTCTCCACCTTTGGCTCTTTTCCACACAAATACTGTTTGCCTTGGCCACACCAACTGCAGTACACGCTGTTATTAAGAAAACTTTGAGTAAGGTTTGTGCTTTAGCATTCCCTGTGCCCATTATCAGCGGTACGTCCTTCTGGATAAGGAGGTAACCTTGATAAGCTTTTGGTAACCTTCCTCTGAGCATGTCTAGCCCAAAACCTTAACAGGGCAATTCTAACCAGAAACTTATCTTTTAAATGCCTGGACATCAGCAGAGGAAAATCAATATATCTATAATTTTAGAACTTAACTGTATTGCACTAGAGGTGATTAAACAGATAGCTGGAAAGTATTATGCTACATTTGTGACAGGCAAAACATGAGTGGCAAACACTGCAAAAACACCCCTTGCTTCTTCTGCAAGTAAAGAGAATGCATTTAGAATAAAGTAACCCCAAAGCATGGGGTTCTAATCCAGTGTTCTGGTTTTGGCTGGGGTATTGTTTTCCTTCACAGTGGCTGGTACAGGGCTGTGTTTCGGATTTGTGCTGAGCAGAGCGCTGATAAAGTATAGATGTTTTTGTTATTGCTGAGCAGGGCTTGCACAGAGCCAAGGCCTTTTCTGCTTTTGTAGCTGTAGGTGCATGAGAGGCTGGCAGGGGACACAGCCAGGACAGGTGACCCCGACTGACCAAAGGGAGCTCCAGACCATCTGACATCATGCTCGTGTACAAAGAGGGGAAAGAAAGGAAGGAGGGATGTTTGGCGTGATGGCTTTTGTCTTCCCAAGTTACCATTGTACGTGATGGGTCCCTGCTCTCCTGAGGATTGCTGAACACTGCCTGCCCATGGGAAACAGTGAATTAATCCCTTGTTCTGCTTTGCTTACGCGCGTGGCTTTTGCTTTCTCTATTAAACCGCCTTAACACCACGGGTTTTTTTACGTTTCACTCTCCCGATTTTCCCCCCGATCCCGCAGCAGGAGGTGTGCCACCCCCACAGAGCAGGCGCGGACCGCGCTCCCCTCAGGGCAGGGCCTCCTCCGCCGTCCCGCCCCACGGCGGCGGGACCAGGCCGCGCGCGGCCGCCCCGCCCCCGCGCCTGCCCGCGTTTGGCTGCGGCCGCCTTGAGAGGCGCCCAGAGCCGGGCGCCATTTTGGGGCGCGAGGGGCCGGGTGCGGCGGCGCGGGGAGAGCGCTCCTCCCGGGCAGGGACCAAAAACAACAACCAGAGAGGCCGCGGAAGGTGCGGGGGCGGTACAGTCCCCAAGGAAGGGAGTCGGGGACTGTGCGTGGGGTGGAATTCAGACAGGGAGTGAATGCGGAGATAATTGCAGCAGGGAGAAATCAGGCGCCCCGAGGGAGGTGGGGAGAGCAGCGGTGCTTCCCGGGGTGCCCAGCAGTAGGAGGTGGGCCCGGCGGAGCAGCTGAGCCGTGCAGGGCGGGCTGCTGCTCTATTGCACATTTAGATGTGCTTTTCAAGGAAGAAGTAGGTGTGTGCTTCGTATGATTTCTGTGTCTTATCACTTCTGTTTTGCTCTTTGCAAAATGGTGTTAACCTGTAGTGATGAACTGGGCTGTGGTGAAAGTAATCTGTCACATTTTTTGTTTGTTTTTTAATGTCAGGCACCATGAGTGGAAGGAGAGAGTTCTCCTTGTTGGATGATAGTAATAAAGAGCTTCCCAGAAGCAGAATGAAAGGTGTGAGGTATGTGAATTTTGAGATAGAGGCTTTAATATTTTTAAGCTCTGGCAGCGCAATAACCACTAAATAGAATTGAGAAAATGTAGGAAGTATGTTTGTGTTTTGCAGTGTTGTGAATCCGTTTTTCTGTTATATGTATGCGAGTAAAATATTCTGTTTGTGAAAAGCAATTTGATATGCTGTCAGATACTGTATCATACTGGTCTGTATGTGTTTTACAAATTAGCTCTGTTAATTTATTCAGTACTTTTAAAATAATTAGAATGAATGTGATTAAAATCGATTACATAACAATTTATTTGTGCTGGTTGTAGTTACCTGAAATGCTGCATGCCTAGCAGCTGTAGCATCTCCTTTATGTATGATGAATTCAGTGTCACAGAGCTAAAGTACTTCCCCAGTTATGAGACGGTAATAAATTTTTTGTGGTGTGTTTTGTTAACTGCAGCTTCCTCATAAAGTCATTTGGTAAAAGTGAATGAGCTTAGCTCTGAAGGAGCTGGAAGTCAGAAACAGTTTCTTGCTAATATTCCTGATGATCCTAAATCTTTACTTTTACCTCTGAAGGCAATGTCCTAAGCTACTAGAAGAGAATTTTGCAGAGCCACATCAGAGAAATGGTGATTTGCATCATATATCAAAAGCTCTCAGTGCGGAAGGTAAGGCTTTGGGATCTTTTTATTTCCAGCATTTTTGTTGTATGCATTATTCACTGTTAATTTTTATTTTATACGATCTGTTAAGGAGAGTAGATGGGCTGCTAATTTGATTAACACATTGTTTGCTACTTACCCAGTAGTTAACAAGAACAATCAATTCCTTTTGATTCCTCTCCAGCTCCTTTTCTTGATGAAGTGATTGTCAAGTTTGTTCTAAAAGAAACCTCATTTTTCTGGGTTTTTTTTAATGAGTAACTTTTTTCCAAGAGTTGAAAAATTGTATAGGTTGCATAGTATTTATGGGTGTTTATGAAGCAATTTTCTTCCTGTACTTAACTATGCTTTTTGAATATGTGGGGTTTTTTGCCTTTTTTCCTTTCATTTGGTTATGCTGTACTGAATGTAGTAGCAATATATATAGCTAATGATAACAGATAATACCCTAATCAGTGCATGCAAGTCAGTCTTTGTAATTCTTAGCTAAGTTTTATATCTATCCGTCTGGATTTCTGTTCCTAGCTCTTAAATTCTCTTATTAAAAGAAGTCAGTGTTCTAATTCCTGTGGACTTGCTGAATACTATTTAGAAGACTACACTGATGATGGTGTATTCCTGTTGTCTTATGGATTAGTATGCCCTACAGAAGTGGGGTTTTCTGTGCTTGCTTTTACAGTGTTGCATGGTGATGGGAAGGATGAAGACACTGGTTTGTTTTGTTTCTCTTCTCCAGAAGTAAGTTGATCTAAAGCTTTCAGTTCAGTAGTCACTGTGGTGGTGTGAAATAACAATTTTACAGGAGCTTGTGAATTTTCATTGAGAGTGATTAAAGCAGGCTCAGGTCCCCTCTGAGCTCAGGGTTTGTGCTTTATGACCACCTATATCCCCAGCAAGTGCTTGCTAGCATTTCTCATTACACAGTGTTGCTGTGTAGTGTATGTCAGATGTCCAGAGCCTGGGTTTAGAAAGGTTTATTTTTACAATTCTCATTAGTGCCCCTTGTTGCCAAATCTGTTCCACCCTCTTGTTTGCACACAGTGTGAAAGAAAGCGACTCATTAATGAGTACTTTTTCTGTACATAAATATTTAAAAGATACTAAAAAAACCCACTTCACTTTGCCCAGTGTGTAAGTTGAGATTTTCTGTTTCCACATCTGAGAAAAATGCCTTGGTTTTTGTATGTGAGTATGCAATTAAATTGTTTTAAAAACAAATTTAGAATCTGTTTCAGAAATACTACAGTGGAAATGTTTTTAGTGAAATTCAGGTGAGCCAAGTATTTTGTGCCTCATGGCCATTATGGAGCTGCTCAGAGTCTTCACATAGCTCAGCAGTCATCCACATCAAATGCCTCTGTCAAAATGGCAAATGGTTGTAGACTATCTTGTCTTTTAGTTGTGCAAGCAACTTCTTTGTTCATTGGCACACTTTTCCTCAGGAGAACAAGACTGGGCAAGATATTGATGAAGCTTTGAGCATAGCCATTAGTAATCTTGGCCACTTCCAAGAAGCAAGCAAGGTGGGTGAAATTTAGTTTAATAAATAAATCATTAA